ATTCTGGCTTTCGAAATTAACCCGCACAAGTTCCTAAGGAAATAGCTCTACATAATGTTAGGTCTGGAACCTGACTTTTAGTTGTTTAGAACCGGTTTTGTAAATGAACCTTCCAAGGCTTTAGTTTATGGTTTTTATTGAAATTAAAAAAAAAGCAGACATTAAAAATAACTGTGAGTCGTATTTGTGAATTATTTTTGTGGATTTATTTCGTATTTTGTTAATTTGTGACCTTAAGAGGTACAGTTCCAAAACTTGGATTCCCTAATTTGTGATATTTGAAAAATGAGGGTAAACACATACAAACATATATATATATATATATATGTGTATATATGTATATATGTGTATACGTGTATGTATATGTATATATGTACACACATATGTATATATACATGTATACACATGTATATATATAAAAGTGCATAAAACACCTATAAAAGTGTAAAAACGCAGCTGACATTTAGAAACTCATGTTTCAAGGCACGGTAGTTTTGCACATCTTGTTTATAAAGTTATTAATAAATGAATTAAACAAAGCGAGTAGCCATTCAGACGCAGAGATGTTATTTTATCGGACATATTTTTAACTGATAAAAAAATCCTTTCTTTATGTTTTTGTTTTTCACTCGTTTTTTGCACAATTTTTTGGTAATGTTTGACCAGGCAGTACAGAAGAACCTGTTCAACATATCGCTGTAATCAGTAAGAAACGTTCCAATTCCAACGAAAAAAGCGGCAGTCATGAGGTTTTGTTCGTCACCCGACTAAAATAGTGCAAATGGCCAAAAATGAGTTCTTCGGTCAAAATAATGCTCTTGCTGTCTCTCACCTTGCTTGAAGACAATATAATTTCGCACTTCTTATCAAGATTAATCATTTGGTCTTTTTAAGCCAAAATTTTTTGCTTCTAAGCACAGCTTTACTTAAAAGTTACACCTTCTGACGAACTTTTCACATTTTGAGCAGATGATTTCTGCGCTTTCAAAGGTACAACGGTCGAACATTGTCTTTGAGTAGTCGTCGTTCAGATTCGATTTTCCAACCGATTCTGTACAGCTGCAGTGCTTTGGAAGGTGCATGCAGACGCAGCAGAGCAAAAATTTCCATCTCAGTAGCGTTTGTTCTAAGGGGTTTTCTGAGAGGAGAACTTATTGAAAGTGTCGAAAAATTTTCCCCGCGAAACGTTACTGTGGATGTCTCTCTCATCTGTAAAAAAGCTAACGCATGAGGCGCATCAGTCTGTGTAAAAACTGTAGCAAGTCATTGCAAACAATGGCATACCCCTAGGTTCTATCCAAATCCTTCCCTCCATCTCTTCAAAAGTGTTACTCGTATTATCATTTTCAATATTTCATTCCTTATTCATCTCTCTCTAGCTCCTTCGTCTCCCCATTTCAGTGTCTGCTTGCTTCAGCCCTGAAGTAAGACTTCGAGCAAAAACAACTTCTTTGTCCCGGAAACCACTACGCAATTTCCTATGAGTATAAAATCGGGAGCACAAATACGTGATGAACTTTTTAAGCAGTTTTAAACAATTTTCCTTGTTTAAACGATGCTTTGCACCGTCCTTGCCGAAACATATTTTAGTAATTTCATCATCAAGTAACTTCAGGGTCGACTTTCCTTTGTCGTTGCTCTCCTCGTTCAGTCGGAAACTGTCCATCTGCTCGGCCGTGCTGGATGTCAGAGCGGGATCATCTCCCCGACATTTCTCACTGCTTCGTCCGTTTGAAGTGTGAGTTCAGATTTGTATTTCAAGCTAAATGGGCTTCTAATTGTACAAAAATCTGAACTCACACTTCAGACGGACGAAGCAGCGAGAAATGTCAGGGAAATGATCCCGCTCTGTCATCCAGCATGGCCGAACAGATGGACAGTTTCTGACTGAACGAGGAGAGCAACGACAAAGGAAAGTCGACCCTGAAATTGTTTGGAGATGAAGTCACTAAAATATGTTTCGGCGACGACGGTGTGAAGCATCGCTTTACTCTCTCTTCTAATGTAAAACGTAACATGGCCCGTAAAGCCATTTCCGAACCAAATGCGTGTTCTGCCGTGGCCGATGCATTCCTTATCATCGATCACGAAACAAAATTCGATAAGACAGTT